GGTTATAGATAGTCGATATCCCTTGACTCAGGTTTTGACCGTGCGGGCCCAGAATTGACTTTTGTTGACTTTTTAGAAATTGGGTAAAGATTGAGCATTTATTATTTGGAATTGATTCCCTTAGCATTGTTTGATATTATTGAGTCATTTTTTGCTAGATTTGAGTCGGACGGAGGTGAATTTAAAGAAAAAGCATTTTTGGAGTATTGAATTGACTTGTTTGAGGTAAGTATTTTGCCTAAAGGATTTGACTTTAATTGCGTATTTGTGTTATGTGAAAAAGCGACGCGTACACCAGATGACGAGCGTGTACACTAGTGACAACGTGACACATTTTAATGTTCTATGAGCCTCAAAAGAGGTGTATGTAAAATCAAAGGTAAATATGATATCGAGAAAAGCACGTTTATGATCGGCTATAATTACATATTTTAGTCGTTTATTACACTCTAATTTACTGTACTTTAATTGAGTTTGAGTTTTAATCGCTAGTGTTTTGCACTAATTGTATGTTTTATGCCTTGTAGGATTGATTCCGAGCTATGTAGATGTTATGGAATAAATTCAAGTGATTTTGAGATTTGAAGTCTGAGTAAAAGCCCAAGGAATTAAGCCGGGATCGTGTTCGGGGATCAACGAATGATAGTTAAGAACGAACGAAAAATCGAGTAGGCATATTGCGCACTGTCTAGTAAAATGCACATAACATTTTGCTCAAAACTCCATTTGGGCTCCACAATATATGGTTGGAAAGCTAATTTAAAGGGATACAACTGTTATGTTTTACATTTTTCCAAATTTCAAATAGTCCGCGGTCCAATCTGCGGCTGCGGACAGAACACTATGCAAAATCCGCGGTCAGGTCCGCGGTCGAATCTGCAGTCGCAGACGTTCTGACCTGGAAAAGTCTCCTTTTTAGCGTAGGAGAAGGTATAATTATTTGGGCCCGACCCTACTTGGTATATATACATGGAAAAACGGTATTTTGAGCACCTTTGACATACTTTTGACATAATTTAGACCTAAGGAGACCGGGAATTCGACCTAAGGAGGCAAGAACACACTAGGAGCAAGGCGGAGAATTCTTCTACGAGTTTTTCACTTCCTTCTTCCTATTTTCTATTATTGGTTATGAATTCTAGTATTGTAGTTTTGCATACTACTATGAATAGCTAAACTGTTATTTAGGGTTTTGATGGAACCTATTGGAGGATGATTTTCATGTTACGCTAATATAGATTTGCCATAATATTTTCTCTATTTGTTCAACTATATTATTATTGTGGTTGGTTGAAGAGCTCTCAATCGACTGTGCCTATTTAGTATGTATTACTCGGGAGAGAGTGCATATTTAGGTAGTTGTTGAACAACATCACTCCTAACGTATATGAGAGATCAATACGGAGGATTTAAAGGTGGGATTAGGGATAACGAAATCTTGGGTGCGATCCGAGTAAGTCATGCTTAATGCCAGCTAGCGTAATTTGGGAGAATATGTCTAGTAAATTATGGTAATTACTCGGGAGAGAGTTACTACAGTCAGAGCGCTCATGATCAGTAGAGAATACTTAGGCGAATTTATAGAAAACGTAGCGGGAAGGATTCCGACAATAAGGAAAATCATAACTCTAGACCTCCTTATTCTTGTCTCCAATCCTTATCCTTATTAATTGATAGTTTTACTGCTTTCTAGTATTTATTAGTTACTTAGATAAAAATAAATATTATAATTTTATAATTAGGAAATTGTTTGGACTTGTGTTTCTTAGCGGTATTGAACAACTGTAGCTAAGCCTTAATTCTCTATGGAATTCGACTCCGGGCTTATAAACCGAATTATATTTACGACGAGCGCTTAATCCTTTTTATAAGGCATAATTGGGCGTGATCAGTGACTATATTTATCACTAATGTGTTGGACTGTTTCCCCAATCATACTTCCAAATTTCCCCTCGTTATCAACTTCTTCATCTATTTCAATACAAGACTTTGATTTGGTAGGCAACCAAATGATGTAAGATATAATGATGAGGATCTAGTACACCAAACGTAAAAGAGGGTTAATATACTCACCACATAATCTCCATATAAACCAATATCACAGGGGATAACATATTCCACCAAATAACACTGGTACTAAATACTTCTTTGTACAAAAGAAAAATAAAAAATAAAACTTAATAGCTTTTTCAATTCTCAAGCCTAGATGGCACAATTTAGATAGGAATTGTTATACAAATAGCCAGTTAAATTCACGGTTTACTTTTTTTAACCGGTATACATGATTTATATAATTGTTATTCATAATTATATACATATTATGAATGAATTATATATATTATATACATTCGTCGGCTATTTTTAATTTAAAAAATTAGACGGACGGTTAATTATTTGGGTTGATATTGGAAGTTAAACTATTCTAAGTTGTGAAGATCCACGAATTTCTAAGGAAGTTTGAAAACTTTAGAGGGAGAATTACAGGAGCTACCCAAAAATAAAAAGTTTATTGTTACTTAGCCCGTTTAAGAAGCAGAGAAGGAATTTAGGGCTAACTTTACTAGCATTTTATGAGTAGAGCTAATATTAATAGCTTTTTTGTTTTAAAATGCCCAACTGAATAGTGGCTTGAAGAGGGAAATGTTGTTCGTGTTTGACTGGATTCCTATTGGTTTACATGAATCACGAGGGCTAGAATTTGGTACTACGTTCATGGCGAGAATGGCGGTGGTGGTGGTACGTGGAAAGTAACTAGCCATAGAGGTAGAAATGATTTTAGGATTCGTTAATCTAATGATATTTTCCGTCTTAAATTAGAGGTCGAAACAAAAATTTACAAAAGAGCTTCAGTACTTATACATTAATTTTATGAAAATGCTCCTACAAATATAAATTGTTGTCACCTAAAAAGGTTTGATTCCCATTTCACCGTAAGTTTTATTTAAATGTACCGAAAGAGTAACTTTTGTTCAAATTAGTATCTAGGTCTCTAAATAAGTGACAAGGTAGTCAGGTGTTAGAGTTTTGAAGTCAAGGATTTTATAAGTCAATAAAATTCCTATATTAGAATCTTCATTAATTTCAGAAAGGGATTTTTATATAACTATACACTATTTGAAATTTTATTACGAAAAATATTTATATTTTGGTATTTATCCGACCTAAACACATTTTAGTTACAAAATATATACAATTCATCTTAAGGCTCCCAATTCATTATTTGTACCTTCAATAAAGGAATTTAGTTACACCCTTCTCCCGTTTTTCTCTCCTCTCTCCTTTCTTCCCTCTTTTCTCCAAATTGAACTTACATTTAGAGATTTAGGTATAGGAAAACCAAACAATTAAAGCTGCAAAAATTCCACGAGTAAAACTGTACCTTGATAATGGGAAGTAGACAAAGTAGAAGCCATTGCTGATGACCTCCGCACTATACAGAAGTGAACTAGGGGATTCGCAAATGCTATAAATAACTCCTTTTGGTCCAAAAAACGAGTTTGCTAAATCTTTTGATTAATTGTCGCAGAACCTGAAGTTATCAATTTACCAACACGCAATTTTCACTTCCTTATTTCTAATTATCTTAATTCTCCCATAATATATCAGTCACATATTATATTCATTTATTGGGAGTTAATGAAAGCAGTCGTGTTCTTATCAATGATTTACTAATCACCATTTTTAAATCTCTTACTTCTCTTCCCTTTCTCTTTTAAGAAAAACAAACTTTAGTAGTAATACAAAGATTTGTATATTTTATATCTGATTTATGCATAGTAAAAAAAATTCATACAACTAATTATATATTATACAACTTATTTATAACTTATCTACATTTTCATACATTATTTTTACCCAGTTATATACAACTACAATATCATACCACATAAATACAAGTTTTATACAAATTTTATACAATATATCTTTTGCCAGAGGCGGATCCAGGAATTTAACTTTATGGGTTCAAGATTTAGAACTCTAGCACATACCTCAAGTTACTATACAATAATAACCGAACGAAATATATATATANATTCAAAAATTCATCACCAATTCTGCTACGCAAGTCATTTTTGATGTACTTCATTGAAGAAAAAGCTCTTTCTACCGTTGCAGTAGCGACAGGCAATATCAGACTTAACTTCACAAGCAAAAAAACAAGTCTCCAAGTCTTGTACAAATCTGTTTCAACTAGTGTTTCTGAAAGATCTCCAAGTCCTTTCAAGTTAGAGAAATCGTTGTCTTCTTTCACAAAGAGAATATAGTTGTCAAGCTCGTAACTGAGATCTTCAAGCTTTGAACCACTAAACTCGTGAGGATAAAGTGTAGCAGGTTTCATAATTCTTTCTTTATCATAATTTGCAAAAGAATTATCCAGACTCAAACTAGCCATACCAAGAAGTAGATTACTATTCACCGCATCAAAATGACTGTTAAGCTCTGAAAGTTGCAAATTAATAACAGTATTAAAAACTTTCGACACGCAAATGATGAGAATATGTAACACTTGAACTCCTACGCTTTGACTTTCCAAGATGATAGTTCTTACCCATTTCAGGGATCACAATATCATGCTTGGCACAAAATGAAGAGGCATCATTTATCAAAGATTCCCATTTAGATTCTCTCATCCCTTGCAATTGCCTCTTCGCGAAACCAGCAAGCTTCATAGCATTTATAATATCCTGGTCTTTTCTTTGCAAAGCCATATTCAAATCATTTGTAATTGCCAATAATTTTAACATCAAGTGCATCATATGCACAAACTCAAAAGATCTTATGTCATTCACTAAACTTTTTGCCACTGATCTCTCTAGATAATTTGCACCCTCACTTGCAAGAAACTCAAGTACATTAATGATAGACGAGAATAATGTAATAAAGTTACGCACTGTCTTAAAATGAGAACCCCATCGAGTATCACCTGGCCTTTGGAGTCCAAGTTCTTGATTTAGTCCACTTCCTGTATGAACTTCACCAAGCACTTGTAGCTCCTCTAATTATTTTGCCTGATCCTCTCGAAGCATATCCCTACGCTTAAAAGAACTTACAACAATATTCAAGACATTAGCAACAATATCAAAAAATTGATCTACATCAAAATGTTTTTTTGCAACGGCTACAAGAGTCAATTGCAATTGATGGGCAAAGCAATGTATACAATATGCCGAAGGATTATCTTTCAGAATTAAAGTTTTAAGACCATTGATTTCTCCTTGCATGTTACTAGCTCCATCATAACCTTGTCCTCGTATTTGAGATGGACTCAATGAGTGCTCTAAAAGCAAATCATAGATTGCTTTTTGTAACGACGATGAAGTTGTTTTTTTAACATGAACAATACTAAGGAATCGCTCAATAAGTTTGCCCTCTTTGTTGACATACCGCAGAACAAGAGCCATTTGTTCCTTATGAGAGACGTCCTTAGATTCATCAACCAAAATTCCAAAATATTCTCCATTCAAATCTTCAACTATTGCTTTCATTATTTCTTTCGCACAAGCATTCACGATCTCTTTTTGGATATTTGGAGCAATCATCATGTTATTTTGTGGAGCACTTTGTAGCACAACTTTTTTCACTTCATCATCCCTATCTGCATACCATTGTAAGAGTTCTACAAAGTTTCCTCTTTTAGTAGAAGTTTCACCTTCATCGTGGCCCCGGAAAGACATTCCTTGTTTTAAAAGATATCTTGCCACATCAATCGAAGCATTCAACCGAACTCGATAATCACTTTTAATTTTTTCAGACTGCTTGTCAAAAGAGGTTAGAATTGATTGTTCTTGATTAATTAAGTCTCTCATCATCTTAAAACACCGATTGTGAAGACTATTTACCTCTCCAATGTGTGCGTTAAATCTTTCTATAGCTTTATTCCAATCTCTAAAACCACTCTTTGTGAAAGAATCCCCAACTTTTCCATGTCCTCCATGCTCATTTTTAAACAA